TATCCTATTAAAAATGCAAAATTGTTAAAGGATGAGGAAAAATTCCACAGCAAACGATAAATGTATACAGAGGCACAAGTGTCCCCATTCCCACTTGCAGTTCGTAGCTACAACTATGAAGTGACAGCAAAATGTGGCTTAAACAAGAAATACCGAGCCGGTGAGCTGTCGGAGGAGTTGAACAATGCTTGCTCGAGGGGCGGGCGGGAGAAATGGAGGAAATGGAAGCGATTTGATGTCTTTTACTCCAACTGTAATCCTAGGCTTGACAAAAGTCTGTGGCAGGGAAAGAAATCAGAGTAGAGTGGATTTCCATTCGATGAACAGTGCTTAATTGGGATTTTAAATCTGTGGAAAATACGAGTCTGTATTGAAATGTCTGAGAATAATTGGGGGGAGCCTAGATATTGCCAATATGAATAATTTTAAAAATTACTTATGGTATGTTTGAGTATAAAGTATACACATTTATACGCTTTTCGAAATTGCTTAAGTTTTCTCCTATGAGAATGTATTTGTATTTTTTGGTATTTTTCCGCTTTAAAGTCCCCCTGGATATCCCGCATGCCACATAAATCTGTACAGATTTCCTGGGATTGGCCTTGCCCATGTTACGTCGCAGCAATTAGAAAACCTGCCACTCAGTTGCTCATTGATAGCTTAAAGCTGGCAGGGCCACCGCCACTTGCCGCACTGCCCCATCGCGTGTACCAAGTCGTACGTACGCCTGTTGGCCAACAGCTGCAGTGGCTGCTGGGAATAGAGCAGCAAATCGCCTTAGCAGCTTGTGGGGAAAACCCTAATAAACCAGCAAGAAAATGCACAGTTAAGCCTTCTGCTGCCGCTGCTGGTGATGCTGCTGATGCGGCTCCTTCTGTGCCACGCCACGCCACGCCCTCCTCTCAGAGAAGCCACCGAAGCAGGCGTTGACTTCAACTTTGACCAGAGCGATTTAAATCAGTGCCTGGGCATATAAATTTAAGAATGCTCCGCTCACTTATCCAAGTCCATGACTTTGGGTTAGGCATTTGGCAGTCTCTGGCGATGAGTCAGAGTTAGCTATGGGGATGGGAGTGGGCAATGGGGAATGGGGAATGGATGAATGGAATGGAATGGGTAGGAACCACTGCTGTGCTTTTTATGCCCGCCATTTTCAGCCTGTCTCCAGCTCTGCTGGAGCTTCTGCTGATGCTGCTGATGCTGGTGCTGGAGCCTCCTCTTCTTGCTACAAATCATGATAATAAATTCCAATTTTATTTAGTCAGTGAGGCGGCAAAGCACCCTTGTCATCGTCATCGCCATCCAAAAGGGGAGGGGAACGGAAACGGAAACGGGAGGCATCCAAATAAAGCCAACCGCTTCATCTGCTTGCCCCTAAAAAAAAAGGGTCCTGCATAACGTCTACCCCTTCTACTGACTGCCTCTCTTCCTCTTTATATCTCTCTCTCTCTCTCTCTCTCTCCGGCTCTGTGTTTCAACTACTCGGATTAACGGTTCATTTTTATGACTTTTTATTTTATACACAATATTGTACGTCCCCTGCTCTCCGCTTACCCAGTATTTCCTTTTCAGCACTTCGCTCAAAAGAATTTGCGGCTGCTAGTCAAGTAAATTCACTCTTGAATTGACTTGGCCTGTTTAACTTTTGGCCAGACATAATCAGGCTTGATTATAATGAAAGGTTGAGGGGCTCATAAAAGGCGAAGGCAAGCCAACAGAACGAACCAACAGATAGAAAATAGTTGGGGCGGCAGCAGTTGGGGGCAGGAGACAGACAGTCCGACGGACCGGCCATCAGGTCATCAGTCAGTCTGTGCAGGCTGTATTGGACCGCAAAGCTTCTGGTTATTCCTTCTGCATATCCGCCTTTAGACTGTGTATCTGCCCCTGACTGTGGCAGCATTAGCAGTAGCGTCAGCAGCAGCAGCAGCAGCCAAAACACATTAGCAGCGTGCTAAAAATGTCGCACAGCTCAGTCGCCCCAACGCACACAAACCGAAACGAGGGTCGATCATACACTAGATTCCCCTATTTTCGGTTGTGGCGGAATAATATCTAACATTTGAATGGTTTTATGTGTGCGGTCATATATGTACATATATATGTTTTGTTGTTGTGTATCTATCGCTATATAATCCCAGATTTTTATATTCATCTAAATTGGGTATCAAAATACTTGCCAATATTATTTCAATGTCTCAATTCGTCTTGAGAACTTTATGGGTAGACTCTCGCTTGCTGGTGACTGACCAGGCTAAGGGCTCTTTTTTTTTTTTTCTCCGAGCTGGGTTGACAGGACATGTGGCAGTTGCCAGTTTGCAGTGCCTTCCTCCGTGCCCCGCTTCCGTGCGCTCTCTCTCCCGTCTTGGCTGTGGCTCTTCATTGCCTGTTGGCAATTACAACGTTGCAATGTTGATGGCATTTTTCTTCCCTTTTTTATGCACATACTTGTATATACACATATGCACGAGTATGTCTAAGGCCAGGCAGTGGGAAGTGAACACGAAGAAAGTGTCACAGGAAGAGGAGGGGGAGATGGGTGGACAGTGGCTAGTCATTTCCGCCCTGCTTCATGAGGTCTTCCATTTTAGTATAATAGACTTGCTCATGATTGAGCGCTCTCAGAGCCTGATTGCCATAATGTACCTTTGTGGTTAGGCTTACTTTTGAAATTACTTGTCAATCGAATTATGACATAAGGGAGAACATAATTGGAATAGAGTAGAGTTCGTTTGAGTGGTCCTTTGTGCACTGGGCACTTAGACCATGTACTAATTGTGAAACTATTTATATTGACTCCAAAGTAAAGTCATGGAATGGAAAAAGAAAATTGCATTGGAAGATCTCTAATGCGAGATGAGATGAGGGAATGTCTCTCTAGATCGATAAATTTTGCATGTAAATTACCATCCCCCTTTCTCACCTTTACCAAATGATAAGCTCATCGGTGGCAGTACAGCAGTACAGCATTACCGCATTTGGTTAAGAGGGTAAATCCATTCGCCCCCCGCTTCTATGGGTACACGCACTGAAACATTATACGAGAAGTAACCATTTATACGAGGGTTGATTTCTCTTTTCAGGGCGGTTGCAAGTGGATAAAAAACAAACAGTTTTTTGTCTCAACTTAGCTATTGCTTCATTATAAAATCGATGCCTGGGGTTCGCTGCCATGGGGCGGAGTAGTGTAAACCACCCTCTGTTTTCGGTCATCCAAGGACTACAAAAGAGTTAATGCGATTGATTGTCAAAGGAAGTACCAGAGAGACAAAGCGGAGCAGAGGAGTTCGATTCCAGTTCGGCGAAACACATTCCGGATTCGATTGAATTTTCCTTGTGGAGCCATCGCAGCCATTGGTTTGCCCTTCTAATGCAGCCACAGGCAAAAAGGGAACTGTTGTCAACGGACTGTTGGTGCTAATGTTCTCTGGCATTGTTGCAGTCTTTGGGCCATGAGCGCCAGGACCAGAAGCAGCCCCAGGACCAGCACCAGGACCACGACTAGGACTAGGACTGCGGACAGTGGGTAGCCTGTGTGCAAAATAGACTGAAATTGATGATGTCACTTGATAGGGCGTGGGGGTTTTTCATTTTTCACTTCTCACATGCACTCCCCAAACCAAAACCCCATTCTCGAGCTGCCAGATCCTTCGTGTTCGTGTTGTTTAACAAATTCATCCTGTTGCTTGCGCTTCAGTGCGTGCCCAGTAGCCGGCGATGGCCAGCACATGCCAGTGTCTCCACCACTGGACTGACTCCATGCCCCTCACTCTACTCTACATGTGAGGAACAATGCTTGAAATGTGCATCTGATACACATGCACATGCACATGCACACACATACGAATATGTATACTTGTACTCATACTCGTATTCGCATTCGCATTCGTATCTGAGTGTGGTATTTCTGTTTTTCGGTAACTGGCAACTGGCACGAACGGAGGCAGATCCATTGTTGTGCATCGACCTGTTTGATTGGCTTTTCTTTTTGCACGTTTTTAATTAGTCTGCCGAGTGTGGGTCAGGCTGGAGGGGATGCTTTGAAGAGAGAGCAGGGGCTGTGCTGTGCTGTGCGGCAGAGTGTTGTCCTTTGGCGCATTAAACAAAACGAAATATTTCATAAGCGCATTGCGCTCTGGCCACAATGCCGCAAATGATTTATATGCAAATTGGTATAAGCAGACAAAAGTCTGTGTGTGCTTTCTGCTGCCACCCCCCATACCCCTCAGCACTCTTCCCAGTCCCCCTCTGACCCACTCTCACCTAGGCAGACAAGCCAAACAAAACAAAACGGTGGAAATCGAGTAAACTTCACTCCGCTTCACTCCACAGCTTTTGCTACAAATTTTGCCAAAATTTATAACAATGGCGCACACACACTCGCACACTCACTCTAACACATGCATAAAGTGTGTGCGGGGGAAAGGGCAGAGCCCACCCCCCGTGGGTATTGGCCACGTTACGGCTGAGTAGCTCATGGCACTTTGGAGCCAGCGCTTCGGCTTAGGGTCCCGGCTCTTGGCCCAACAATGTAACCAACCAGGAGACTGTAAAATTTATGCACTTTTGAGGATTGCCGAAATGTGCTCAAAAGGGAAACTCTTCCATTATGCGACCATGATTGGAAGTCTCTCAAGATCTTCACAGGCGAAGAACTTAGCTGGAAAGCATTGGGAGGTTTCGCCGATTTACTTTACTTAAGATGAAAAATTCTAAATAAAATTCAGCTGCACTATCCACTCTCCATTGAGAGCTTCTTGAATTAAGATATAAAACAAATCCAATTTTCAATCTCTATAGATCTCCAATAATACAAGTCAACTTTGATTATTTCCCTTCACCCTAATTGAACCCATTGAATCTCAAGTTCTGCTTGATGTATGCAAGACCTTTGAGAAGTTCATTTTATTTTCACTAAATCACCATTTCTTTGTGCTGTGCTTCAGCCATTGCAGCACTCGTATACCCGTGGATATTGGCAGCCCCCTTGTGGCACTCACCTTATTGGAATTGCCATTGAATTTCAATAGCTTCTTGCAAGACTTGCCACGACTCTCGAAGTAGATTTCCTGTGGCGTGCGTCGGCGTCGCTGTCCGGATGCAGTGGCTGCCTTGCATTGCAGCTGCGACGAGAATGGATCGTTGCTGTGGCACTCGCTGCCTGCCACCAGCTGCGTTGCCTTGTGGCGACTCACACAAAAGAGGCGACTCAAGATGCCGCAACAACCGCTTGGCGGCGCCGAAGAGGATGCTGTCTCAGTTCCTGTAGTTGCTGCTGAATTGTTGTTGGAACAGCGGGCGGATATGGTCATTAGGTTGCCATTGTGGCGTGTCTGGCGATTAACATCCATTTCCATGTTCGAGCGGCAAAAGAACTGTTGCCTGTTTCTCAGCGTCTTCCGCTGTGGTCTTCTATTTCTTCAATTTTTGCAGTTCGCTTGCAGTTTTTGATTGCGGCTTTCGGTCTGTCAATATTTTAGGAATCTCAACTCTGTCTATCTAAATATTTATCTGCTCCTTCCTGGTGAAGGATAAATGTCTTTGTTTGACTGTTGTTGTTTAACTGGTGGTTAAGCAGACACACGAACCACTTGGCGCCCTCACACCTACAGACACATGCACACGCAGCCAGAGAGAGGCACGCACTTACGTACGCTCTCACACACAGGCAGGACTACACCGGACACGGAAATGGAAGCCACCAACGCGACGTGCTTGCCCGAGGACAGCAGGCCAACTGATAGCACACCAGACGCAGCTCCAGTCGCAGCCAGCTTTGGTTGGCAGCGTTGCCAGATGGCCAGCGGACTGAAAGAGAGGCAGCGACGATGACTGAGAGCGCGAGTGCGCAGGACATCTCTCTCGCGTCGAACATGAATCACCTTGTGTGTGCATGAATGAAGCAAAGTTATAACCGCTTCTCGTTCTTTTTGCTGGCTTTGTTGTTGCCTCTATAGTTTTTTGTTTTTTGTTGTTGTTGTTGTTTTTGTTTACGTTTGCCAGGGTCAAAGTTGTAGAGGATTTCCCTTAATGTTTGTAATTGTTTCATCTCCCGCCTCATTGTAGGCAGTGTAATACGAGTATGAATAGTAATGGGTAGCAAATGAAGCTGGCAGAGAGTGCATAAATATTAATTTGAATGCATTTTATTCGGACACGTAAAACAAAGAAAATAATACAAAAAATATTTGAACAATATTCTCATATTCCGATTCTGATTGATCTTAATTTAAATATTTTCTCCGAACAAGCGAGAGAGTCATCTGTACATATAGTTGGCTTGTAGTCTAAGGAAAGACTGCTACTTCGATCCCTCTTATAGATTGATCCCAATCCTAGGCTTGAACAAAACTAAAGCCATTCACAAAGTATCATAAAGTTGGTAGAGCTTTGCCAAAAAAAGCATTTCATTTCGGCTGGTGATGGCCGAGAACTGGGGGCAGCGAGGATTGGGGACTGGGGAGTGGGGCTTGAAGACTGTGGGGACTGACGAGCAAGCGCACTGTGTTTGTACGTGTGTGCTGGGTGGGGGACGACTGTGTCTATGACTATGAGTGCTTTCTGCTCTGGACGTAATTTCAATGTTTCAACGTAATCTTTGATTTGATTATGCTGTTGAGCTGCCTCCCCAAGAGCCAGAGACCATAGAGCATGTTTGTTAGTGTTTGTCTGTGCTTGTCTCCCCCTTTGTGTGTGTGTGTGTGTGTCTGGACCACTTCCGGCTAAAGCTATAAACGGATTATAAAGTAATTTAATGCTTTTTGTTGTCTACTCTGGCCCCCACTTGCCACTGATATACTCGTACTGTATATACATATGTATGTACTTAAGTTTGGGTTCACAAACACACAACTATATATGTATGTACAGTTTCAGAGAGTATTTTTCGACAGTAAAAACTTTTAATGTTTGTTGTTTGTCGCTCAATTTTGTTTAGCACGCATCATGCATACGCCCTGTTGGCCCGCTTCTTTAATGAGTTGGCCGGCTTTTGTGGAGCACTGGCCAGAAAACAGTTTGGCCCTAATTAATGTCAACGGCGTCAGATGTGTGGCAATGCCAATGTGTGTGGTGTATCTGGGCCTTCATTTTGGCAACATGTTTATCCGGCCGAATGCCCATATATTAATGTCCGCACACACACACACTGACTGGGACACGGACACAAGCACACATTCCGTTGGATTGTCACATTAATTATGTACGTTAAGCTGTCAACGTGGCCAATATTTTCGTATCCTCCATGTCCATGTCCAAGTCCAAGTCCATGTCCTGCTTTCCCGCACACGTGCCTCCTCTTGTACGTTTTCATCCTCAAACTATTTGCCATTTTTCCTGCCTTCATCTCTGGGCGATAAGAGCGTCTTAGCTTATCTTTATGGCTGGGCTTTAGCTTCGACTTGTTTCTGCTTGTCTCTTGCTATTTGGCAAACAAATGCGTTCGATAATGCAGCACGAATCATCTGGATGCCTGCTGTTAAATGGAGCGAAGTGTCAAAAGCACAAGTTCAACAAGCAAATAGATTCATTGGCAAGGTATGAAATGAGCTGCTGGTGCATTTAGGGGCATGGCTGCCAGGGATTAAAATTTTGAATTCAATTAAATTAAATTAATCTATAAATAAAATAAATAATAAGAAGATTAATGCCCGTCTATTGGTTTTCAATGTAATTAATCCAAATTGGATTACTATACAATCCATTGTGGATTTCTGATTCTGACGCCGAACTCAACATAGTAGAAACTGCAGCTGAGGTTTAATGGTGGCCGCAGGTGCTCTACCTGACCAAAGACCATAAAAGGCTGCCCCGGGCTCCGCCCCCCCTATTCAATACGAATACTGTTAGCGTATATGCAAAAATTGCACATCCAATTAAACTCTTTTTTTCACATTTTCTGACTTAATACTCTTCAAAATGTTCCGTCGAGCACTTCGCCACGCCTCAGTTCATTGGTACAGTCAGTTTCAATTACGCACCAATTTCTGTTCAGCAGTGTGGATGGGCTGTGGGTGTGGTGTAGTGTGCGAGTGGTTGTGGGAGTCAGTGTGTGTCGAATGCTGTTAGCAATGAAAACTCTGCAACTGTGGCCGAAAATGAAAAGTTCCATTGCATTTGGCAAACTAAAACAAAAAGTAGAAAGGAAATATACAGAACTGTTGCCTAATTGCAAAAATGCTGCCGGCCAAACACAGATCCGAAAAAGTTTTTTTTTGGCTCCACATCCACCATCAAAAACAAAACAAAAAACCCTGCACAATAAAAAGAGGCAGAAAACTACGCTAAAAGCTTTAACAAAACCTCAATAAAGCCGTGGGGCATGGGGCACGGGCGGAGAGTGGGGCCGGTAACTATTGAGGCGGCAAATGGCAAACGGAAAAGTTTCCGGCGCATGCGTAAATGGACCAGAGACACTCGTTCCGATAGGGCCGGAGGACCTGCAGCGGATGCCAGGAGAGTGATGCAAGTTGAACGGCAACGACAACGGCAACGACAGCGACAGCGACAACGCCATGTAAATGACGCTTTTATGTTGCAATCACGTTTCTCCTTGTTCTCTCTTTTTGCCGTTCTTGTATAGTTTTTATGGTTTTTTGTTTCATATGCAGTGAAATTTTATGATTATTGCCAAAGCGACAAAAAAGTTTGCCGCAAAAACTTTCGCAGCAGTGTGCCAATGGGAAGGAGGTAAATGGGTAGGGGGGGGCAGTCCTCCTCGCGGCAGGATGGAGGACACACTCTTCACGTCACTGGAATTGTCATGCTCTGATGCCTTCGTTAGGACCGGCCTGTCCTCCATGTCCCATCCTCTGTGGGAGATTCGTGTTGCATTGCACTTTGCTAAGTAGATGAGAATGACGACATCGCCACGTCCGGAGTGCATGAAATTTATGCAAATGCACGGAATTTGTATGAAAATTGTTTTATTTCATCCAGTCAAGACTCTCACACACACACACATACACGCACTCATAAAGCACGCTCGTGTCATTGTATTGTGCTTAAGCAAGAAATTACTCATACCACATGTTGTACGCTGTCTCCGCTGTACTCCCTGCTCGCTTTCTTCATCGTTTGTCGTGTCCCGTCAGTGTCCTGCTGTGAGCTTTATGCAAATTTTACCACTGTGCGCAACAATGTTATTAAAAAATGATAACAAGCCAAGGGAACAGCAGAAAAATGGCAACCAAAGGCATTTATTTAAGGGCGTCTAGACTATTGACTATGGTGTAAAAACCTAATAGGGAAATAATCTAGCGAAAAGAGCTTTATTGAGTTGTTTCCGTGGAGATACTAAAGCGGTTTTATTAAAAACGCCTTCGAAAACTTTCAGACAACTGTGTTTGGGAAATTCTATAGTTCCAAAGATTTTCCATATAATTTCCAACTATGTAGTTCTCTCTAGTTCACTCTCCCTAATGTACCATAGCCCATATACCTTCCCTAGTATTGCACGGATACTAGGAGACAAAGACAACTGTCAGTTGGATGTTTGTTGCGGCTTGCCCCTTGTCAACTTTTTTTAGTGTTGCCTGCTGGGCTGGCTCTGCTCTTCACTGTCCTCCCCGCTACTCCTCTGCTCTTCTAGTTGCTGTTTTTGTCATTTGCATGCGTTGCGAGGTAGATGGAAAAGGGAGTCACAGCAACTAGGAAATTATGCAGTGAAATATGTTGCCATAGCGAAAGAAAAACAAAAACCCACCGAAACAAAGCACACGATACCCAGTTAGGCGTATATACTCGTATACCATAAATATGTGTATAAATGTACATATTATTATATACAAGCGGAGTATCTGAGGGACAGGCGAAGTGGCAGCAATGCCAACCAACATGTTGCCTGGCAGCATCAGCATCAACAGAACAGCTCCTACGGTTCCGTTCCTTCACAGTTGCTCCTTTTGCCAGTTTGGCGTTTGGCTGGCAAGCCCCGACCTCAAGTCGAGTCAGAGAGGACGAGTCTAAGAACCATGTTAGAGATGTAAAAGGCATGTCAGAAATTCCCAGCTTGCTTCCAGTAGCATTAGTTTTGCATTTTGACTGGCAGGAATGTCAGAAATGGAGCATTTTGTACGAAAACCATTAACCTTTCGAGATAGACTGCGGTTAGTCGGTTATGCACAGAGCTCTCTGATTAATTGAATCCCGAATTGGTTTATATTCGCATTTATTCAACGAATTTATACACCCATGAAAATACTTGCAAGCAGCCAGACAATTTCTGTTAGCGTTTAAATACATTTATTTTATTTTTTGTGCTTCAGGTTCAGGTGCTACTGCATGCCAGTGCATTCTCCAGTGCATATGTTTCACACAAAAATGTGCAGCTAATGTGGGATACCCCACACAATTTGTAATGAGCTTTTGCTGCTCTGGATAACACGCATAACAACTGCTCTCTTATCGACATTTTGTTAGCTTTTTGGTTTGTGGTTTGCTGTCAAAGTGTTATTTGTCGTTTGTGTTTACAGCCTGGCTTCCGCTTCCACTTCCACTACTAACTCGTATATCCTTTTATTTTTAGCTGGCCAAGCGTTTAATTTTTGGACAATTTGGGTAACGGGTTGACAGGGTTGCCAGGGTTGCCAGGGTTGCCATGGTTGTGCTGCCTTTGGTAATTACAATGTGCAGCAGCAGCACTGTCGTGTCGTGGAACTTTTGTCTGATTTCTGACAGGCTCCAGTGCCGCATATCTATGCGGGGCCTGACTCGATGTGCGATAAG